GAAGATTTCCTCCAGAGAACATTTTTATGTCTGGCCTTGACGTTAGTGTCACTTTCATGAGGTCACTTCCTGTGTACTGAATACTATTGTCAGCACGGTTCACTGAGTATTGCTCAAGCACAGTGCGAAGCGAATAAATACCCCATCATTTCATATTCCTGATATGTGCCAGATATACCGTGTACCAGGGGCGGACTGACCATTTGGAAACTCGGGCGCTGCCCGAGGGGCCCGGGGTCAGTAGGGGGCCCCATGAGATGCCCCTGGTACCTTTTTCATAGGCTTTTTTGAGTTTGGGCAAGGACACAGGGGCCCCATGATCCCCTATTGCCCGGGGGCCCCATGAGTTGTCAGTCCGCCCCTGCCGTGTATGTGTATGAAAAAGTATCTTGAGCTCTTTGTATTGCTTCCTGTAGGGGAAATCCCCACTGTTCCTGCCAGTCTCCAAACTTTCCGATTTAAACTGACCACTCTAGACATCAGGGGAGGACTGACAACTCATGGGGCCCTCGGGCAATAGGGGATCATGGGGCCCCCGGGCAATAGGGGATCATGGGGCCCCTGTGTCCTTGCCCAAACTCAAAAAAGTCTATGAAAAAGGTACCAGGGGCATCTCATGGGGCCCCCTACTGACCCCGGGCCCTTGGGCAGTGCCCGAGTTTCCAAATGGTCATCTGCTAGACATAGAATCTCATCCATCCCGGCATGGGCAGTTTTCTGTGTGTGCTGGGAGAACAGCCTGCTTGTCTCCCAATGATCACACTTGTGCTGATAGGACCCTTGTCAGTGGTAAATTCTTTGTCTCATGCCTCTAACTGATTTGTGCACAGGGGAGCTTGTCCTTTTGAAAAAACAACAGACTTACTTGCAGGATCACTAGATGAAAATAAAAGAAAGAAAGTCTAAAAGAAAAAAGAAAACGAGTGCAGCCGTCACATCTTAGAATTGGTAAGCGACAGTATATTAAAAGTCCCAGCCACCTAGGCGATGTCATCATTAGGTGATTCCCAAGGACTCCTGGGATATCAGAGTCATCCTTCCCAGGAGTCTTGGGGAAGCCTAATAGCTGAAATTTTGATTGACAGGTTGTCATAACAATGGGTCGGGAACTTCTGCCGAGACCTCCATTGCTATGGCAACCTGTAACCAACAAAGTGTGCCACGCAGTGGCATTACTGCGCAGGAGTATGATCGGGAGGCACATGCATGCTAGCCAGCTGCAGCGAATACCATAAATAAATAGAAGCCGGCTTCAGTTGCCCACATCAGCGATGGCCACTGCCTGCCTGCCGGGATCAGGTAGGTAATTAACGCGGAGTTCCACTCAAAAACCTCCTATCCCCCTCCACTGCCAATATTTTGGCACTTTTTTGTGGGGGAGGGGGGAGCGGATACCTGGTTTTGACAGGTACCCTTTCCCACTTCTGGCTCAGTTCGCCACAGCGAAGTGAGCTGGAAGTTCGGTCTCCTCCTTCCTCCCGCAATCTCCTGGGAACCTTCACAGGTTCCAGAAGACTGCCGGACCAATGAGAATACGCAGTGTGACTCGCGCATGCGCAGTGGGCAGCCGACTGTTACGCTGCAAACTGTCACATCCTGGTGCTCACGGTAGAGATGCCGGGGAGAGAAGAGGAAGAGAAGGGACAGCACGGGGTGAGTACATTGCTGGATCCTGGGACAGGTAAGTGTGTGTTTATTAAGTCAGCAGGTACAGTTTTTGTAGCTGATGACTTTTAATAAACACAAAAATGACTGGAACTCCATTTAAATGATTTATAACTACAGAGCATTAAAGTGTTCCTGAACCCACAACAGTACAATCAGTCTGTAGATGCAGGAAAGCATGCTTGTTATACTCACTGTGGAACCTAAGGGGTTAATCCTCCGCATTGTGTAAAAAAGCTGTTTGATCCTGACTAATCTGATCCGCCCCTTTTCTACTGTCCTCCAATCCATCTGCTGATAATAAACAGAGCCTTGGGGCAAGCTGCACATGCTCAGTCTGGTGTGTATTGCTAGAGAGTTGTTTTTTTTTTTTCTTGAGAGAGTGCATGTGATCGGCACAGGGCCAATCAGCACTTTCCAGCCAGAGGGGTCAGGGTTTATGCCGCCTCACTGGACAATCATGAGAGAAAGAAAACTCCTCCTACAAGCTTTAAACAGTTGCACTGCTGGACACTGATAGAAGTCACAAGACTGCTATATACTGCTGAAGGGAAAAGGTTTTTAGCAGTTTAAATTTACTAAATAATTGCACTTCCATGTTGTGTGTACTGTGGGAGAGCAGATTCAGTGAATGCAGGGTCCAGGGAGACGGATATAGTGAATGCAGGGTCCGGGTAGACCAGATATAGTGAATGCAGGGTCCGGGGAGACCGGATATAGTGAATGCAGGGTCCGGGGAGACCAGATATAGTGAATGCAGGGTCGGGAGACCGGATATAGTGAATGCAGGGTCCGGGAGACCAGATATAGTGAATGCAGGGTTCTGGGGAGACCGGATATAGTGAATGCAGGGTCGGGGAGACCAGATATAGTGAATGCAGGGTCTGGGGAGAGCGGATATAGTGAATGCAGGGTCCGGGGAGAGAGGATATAGTGAATGCAGGGTCCGGGAGAGCGGATATAGTGAATGCAGGGTACGGGGAGACCAGATATAGTGAATGCAGGGTCCGGGTAGAGCGGATATAGTGAATGCAGGGTCCGGGGAGACCAGATATAATGAATGCAGGGTCGGGGAGAGGATATAGTGAATGCAGGGTTCGGGGAGAGCGGATATAGTGAATGCAGGGTCCGAGGAGAGCGGATATAGTGAATGCAGGGTCCAGGGAGAGCGGATATAGTGAATGCAGGGTCCGGGGAGACCGGATATAGTGAATGAAGGGTCCGGGAGACCAGATATAGTGATTGCAGTGTCCAGGAGAGGATATAGTGAATGCAGGGTCCGGGGAGACCAGATATAGTGAATGCAGGGTCCGGGGAGACCGGGATATAGTGAATGCAGGTCCGGGGAGACCGGATATAGTGAATGCAGGGTTCGGGGAGAGGGATATAGTGAATGCAGGGTCCGGGAGAGCGGATATAGTGAATGCAGGGTCCGGGGAGACCGGATATAGTGAATGCAGGGTCCGGGGGAGCGGGAATATAGTGAATGCAGGGTCCGGGGAGAGGGGATATAGTGAATGCAGGGTCCTGGGGAGACCAGATATAGTGAATGCGGGGTCCGGGGAGAGCGGATATAGTGAATGCAGGGTCCGGGGAGAGGAGATATAGTGAATGCAGGGTCCGTGGGGAGACCGGATATAGTGAATGCAGGGTCCGGGGAGACCAGATATAATGAATGCAGGGTCCGGGATATAGTGAATGCAGGGTCCTGGGAGACCAGATATAGTGAATGCAGGGTCCGGGGAGAGAGGATATAGTGAATGCAGGGTCCGGGGAGACCAGATATAGTGAATGCAGGGTCCGGGGAGACCGATATACAGTGAATGCAGGGTCCGGGAGAGAGCGGATATAGTGAATGCAGGGTCCGGGGAGACCGGATATAGTGAATGCAGGGTCCGGGGAGACCGGATATAGTGAATGCAGGGTCCGGGGAGAGCTGGATATAGTGAATGCAGGGTCCGGGGAGAGGGGATATAGTGAATGCAGGGTCCGGGGAGACCGGATATAGTGAATGCAGGGTCCGGGAAGACCGATATAGTAAATGCAGGGTCCGGGGAGACCCGGATATAGTGAATGCAGGGTTCGGGGAGACCGGATATAGTGAATGCAGGGTTCGAGAGAGAGCGGATATAGTAAATGCAGGGTTCAGGGAGACCAGATATAATGAATGCAGGTCCGAGGAGAGCAGATATAGTGAATGCAGGGATCGGGGAGACCGGATATAGTGAATGCAGGGTCCGGGGAGACCAGATATAGTGAATGCAGGTCTGGGGAGACCAGATATAGTGAATGCAGGGTCCGGGGAGAGCGGATATAGTGAATGCAGGGTCCGGGGAGACCGGATATAGTGAATGCAGGGTCCGGGGAGAGCGGATATAGTGAATGCAGGGTCCGGGGAGAGCGGATATAGTGAATGCAGGGTCCGGGGAGAGCGATATAGTGAATGCAGGGTCCGGGAGAGGGGATATAGTGAATGCAGGGTCCGGGGAGAGGGGATATAGTGAATGCAGGGTCCGGGGAGAGGGGATATAGTGAATGCAGGGTCCGGGGAGAGGGGATATAGTGAATGCAGGGTCCGGGGAGAGGGGATATAGTGAATGCAGGGTCCGGGGAGAGGGGATATAGTGAATGCAGGGTCCGGGGAGAGGGGATATAGTGAATGCAGGGTCCGGGGAGAGGGATATAGTGAATGCAGGGTCCGGGGTTTAGTAACACTTTAAGACAATTATTAATATCTCCAGGATATACAGTAGGAGTAATAAGAATAAAATAAGAATAAGAAAATTTTCTTAGGAGACTGGAGCTCTGCTTTAAAAAAGTTGGTTGAATGACACGTCTGATAAACTGCTGAAATGATTTGTATTCACAACACTATTAAAATCTGTTTTACATAAATGAATGTATATAATTTTTGCATTGCATTGGTCTTGGAAAGCCATTACAATGTTGTTTTATGCCCTTGCACAATTCAATGGATGATGTATCTTTTACTGGAAGCGCTTCTTAACAATAAAGTTGTTTCTGTTTTGAATGCTGTACTGACAACCTCACTTCCTGTGCTGCTGTCACCTTCGCCACTGTCACAATGGGTAATCGAGGAATCTTCCAACGTAGTGCGGAACTAGAGAGCAACCAGGAAATTCCTCTTACGTCTCAGGTTGCTGGGTGACCTGGGCTTGGCCAGTGAAGAGATCTTGTGTATATATAGAAAGCAATGGAGCTTCGTAGGACTATGCAAAGCTACAGACATCATAGAAAACATATTTTAGAAGAGATAGGCAAGATCCACATCTGCGAATATGGGTGCCCTCCTCAGCAGCCTTTACCAAGCTCTCATGAGCTTCTCTGGCACCAAGGCTCGGATCCTGATGTTGGGTCTGGACGCTGCTGGAAAGACCACCATCCTCTACAGGCTGAAGTTAGGTGAGACAGTCACTACAATCCCTACCATTGGATTCAACGTCGAAACTGTGGAGCCCATACCTAATGTGACCTTTACTGTCTGGGATGCAGCTGGTCAGGGCAGGATTCGAGCCCTATGGAAACACTACTTTGCCAATACAGATGGGTTGATTTTTGTGGTGGACAGTGCTGATCCAGAGAGGTTTCTGGATGCCAAGACAGAACTCAATACTATCCTGGAGGATGATCAAATGAAAGGTGTTCCCTTCTTGGTGATGGCCAACAAGCAAGATTTCCCAGGTGCCAGGAAACCTATGGAGCTGGCAGAAGATCTGGGACTGGCCAAGATAAAAGGACATCGGTGGCACATCCAGGGGTGCTGTGCACTCAATGGGGAAGGACTGGTGGAGGGGATGGAGGTTCTCACCAACTTAGTGAAGCATTTTCAGAAGAACGGGACTTCCCAAGAGGACTAAATTCATGTCTATCATTATCTTGTCTTTTCTTGTCTAAGGTGCTGGAACAGTATACAGCATTATTACACCGATATCAACATGTTCTTCACAAGCCAAGGAGCGGAGGAACCGTGCAAGCCAAAGAGTTAGCTTTCACACCGGTCTTACAGCTCCCCCTGTTGCCTCCACCATGTAAGACTGTCAAAGGAAAGGTTTTGTGACTGTGTTCAGGGTATCAAGTGCAGTGAAAAACCTATTTAAAGGACTTGTTGTAGGATTTAAAACAAATTGTAGTTAAAAAATGTTAAAATGAGCAATTACACTGACAGTTTTGACAATAGAGGGTCTTACTGAGTAAGCAGAAAATTATTTCTTTTATATATATAGATCTATCTATCTATCTATCTATCTATCTATCTATCTATCTATCTATCTAATATCTATCTATCTAATATCTATCTATCTAATATCTATCTATCTATCTATCTATCTATCTATGTATCTATCTAACTATCTCTCTTTATATCTATATATATATATATATATATATTTATATATTGATATATATCCTTTATTTGTAGGTATGAGATATGTCACTCATTGTAGACGTTTTGTTCATATACTATATTTCAATAAATATTTTGTTGATAAAACAAGACATTTATTGAGCAAATATTTGTTGTATTATCCATTCCTATCCCACTACTATTTGTGATTCCATGTCTGACTGGTCATCCCAGAGCTGCATCAGCTGCTCAACAGAGAGTTACCAGGGTCTGCTGATAACATTTTTACACCTGCATACCAGAGGCGGACTGACAACTCATGGGGACCCCCGGGAAATAGGGATCATGGGGCCCCTGTGTCCTTGCCCAAACTCAAAAAAGCCTATGAAAAGGTACCAGGGGCATCTCATGGGGCCCCATACTGACCCAGGCCATCGGTCAGTGCCCGAGTTTCCAAATGGTCAGTCTGCCCCTGCTGCATGCATGTACCAGGCCAATTTAGACGGTAGTCATATAACCTATTGGCTGTCTTTGGAATGGCAGTGTTCAGTGTGTATTTGGGAAAGACCACTGGGGAAAGTTCTGTTGCACTGCCATTTTGATACTGTTCTTTCTTAACCTCCCTGGCGGTATTCCCGAGTGTAGCTCGGGGTAAACTTTCAGTACCAAAAGCAATTTTGATTGCACAGATTCAGCATCCATTGGTTTCAACTTTGGCATTCAAAATTCTTTGAAGTTCACCAAACCCTGCTTAAATGGAACATAGGGTAGTTCGGCTCATCCCTATTTCTCTGTGAATTCTTTATCAAGATCTGGGTTTCTCAGTGAGGTTCTATGGAATCCTAGGATTCCTCCAGAGGTTGCTAGGGGTTCCTTGAGCAAGGAGAAATTTCTACTTCTCAGATACGTTCCCCCTGACATTATTGATCTTTTTAGCTACATATCTTTTAACCCCCCTGGCGGTATTCCCGAGTGTAGCTCGGGGTAAAATTTCAGTACCAGAAGCGGTAACCCCCCCGGGCTACACTCGGGCTTACCATGCGGCGTTGCTCAGGGATTCCCTGCAGCGCTTACCTTGTCCTTCGCTCCCGCGATGTGTCCCCTGCAGCGTCCCCGGCCATCTCCTACGGCCGATGCCGGCATCCGGCTTCTGTGTTCCGGTCCCTGTGACGTCGGGACGTACAGGCGCCGGAACCGGCGGCAAATTTGATATTTTTAAAAAATGTCATTTTTTGTAAAACGATTATTACATAGTAAAACATTGCTGTTTCCAACCATTTCACATACATTTTGTCCCGAGTGCTTTGTCCGGCGCCCTGCCTGCACTTTTACTGTTCTTTCTGCCTGGAAACTTAGAAAAGTCCATGGCGTCCAAAAAGCGTCCCTTTAGGTCAAAAGCGGTTTTAGACCGGCTAGAGAACAGCGATAGTAAATCAGAACCACTTGCAGAATTGAGTGATAATGATTCGTGGGGGAAATTCCTCATCAGACACTGAAAACGATTTTGCGACTGAGCTCAGCGATGTGCGAACTTGGCGCTCTATTTCACATTTCAGTGTTTTTGGTTTGATTATATTATTGAATTAAATTTATTATTATTATTTTTTATGATTATTTATTACATTATAATTTATGATTTCGTGTTTCAAGTTTTATCATACCCGGGATGTTTACTAGACTCTTGTTCGGACAGATTTCAGTGAGTTATTCCTAAAAATTACAGCCTACAATAAAAAAAAACTACATATTTCCATGCAAAATAATGGTACCGCTTTCAGCACCAAAAATCGGAAATAATCAGACCCCCAGGGAGGTTAATACACAAATGTTTTGTAAATCATGTTATCTATATGACATATAGTGCAATGGTACATGGAAGAAGGTCTTTGGTGTTTAATTGAGCAAACGTTTTATATGGAATTACAATAAAATTTCATTTTTATTTATTTTGCGGACCTTTTTGATATATATTTTGATATGAATTTCTTTGTTGCTGCATGAAAGTCTCAGGGGAGATGTTTTTGTTGTCTTCCAATACTGTTCTAGGGATGAAGGAGCAGGCTATTTACAAGTACACCACCCCTTCTTTTTGTATACTGTATATATATATATATCATGTTTAGGGTTCTAAGTAATCTTCAAACAAAAAAACACTGATTTGTACATGTATGAGAGAAATGTCAGAATTGGCCCAGTAAGGAAGTGGGGACCATTAAAGTGGTATTAAAAAATAAGTTCACCTTTTCCGTTTCTAGGATGGAACATGTAACATGCCCGATCCCCCCTCCCTGTGACAACAGTATGGGGAGAAGTTCCCTGTACAAGCTGTCAGCCCACTATCATGTCAGTCCACATGGCCATATCATTCATTCACAGAGTTCTGTGAATGAATGACCTGCAAGTCCCGGCAGCCTTAGCGGCGGTCGGCTTGTAATTCTCAATTAACTACCTCAGCTCTGTGGAGCTCCATGGTAGTTCATTCATTCTTCCTGCCAGTATATCTGCTTGCTTGTACATTCTGTACGGGCAAGCAGATATACTGACAGGTCTGCAGGAGACCTGCATGGCACCAGCGATATGCTGATCACTGGTGCAATGCTTTCCAGGCTCCTGCAACAAAAAATAATAAGTGCACATTTTTTTTCCTGGAAAAAAATGTGCTTTTATTGTTTTTTGTCAAAAGTTGAACTTATCCTTTAAACCCAAACTGAATTACGCAGTTATAAGGCGGCAGTAGAGAAAACCAAACTGTACTGCAATGAACAATATCCAACAATTTACCTGGTATTGGTGTAGGCCATTTTCACCATCGTTACTGAGCTCTGCTGTACAGTAGACTGCAAAGTCTGATACCAAATGAGGATCACCGTGTCGTAAGGTCCTAAGCCAGCCCGAGCCCAGCCTGGAGGCCAGCTTCCCCCTAGCCCCAAGGGGCACCGCCCAGTCCACTGACAGTCTCCTCAGCACTCCATTTTCCATCCTACTCCCTTTTCAGGCCTGCTTATCCCATCTTTATGGGTTGGTTTCACCCCTCTACCAGGGCCTCCAAACCTGGGATTAGTCAGACTCTCATAAACATGCAGATTAGTTCTCCACCTCTTCCACCCACTGGCTTCTGGAAGGTTCTATGGTCCTCCAGAGCCAGGTGGAAATGATAGAGTCCCAACCAGCTTTAACCCGACCTTAATCACAGACTCACACAGTTACCATGAATCTTACTCAATAAATGTACCTACACTACACTACACTAGTTGCACAATAGAGGTGCTACATCTGTAAATTGATATATTTGCAGCATCCAATTCATTGGGTTTTTTTTCGTTACCATATTTTTCGCTCCATAAGACGCACTTTTTTCCCCCCCACAAAAACGGATGGAAATGTCTGTGCGTCTTATGGAGCGAATATGGAGCGGCTTGGCCTGTATTCTTGCCGCCGCCGTGTTAGAATGCCGGGCCAGGTATTTCTCATATGTATACAGCCATGGAGTTAGCAAGAAGATGGAAATTTGGTGTCAAAATATTTTCATGATTTTCCTTTCCTGAGGAATCTTCATAACAGCATATAGTTTACTAAACAAAGATCCCGCCGAATTTCTGCCATGGAAATTTGTCAGGAAAGGGAAATTAAAATAATATTTTGACACATATTTTCCAATAATTATTTTCCAATCATTTTTATTGAGAAATTTGTTTTTTCAAATAACAAATAGTGCAAATAGACAAATGTCATGTCATAATAAGTAGGTTTCAAGCAACACAAAAAAAAACCCCATGGTTTAACGAACATAGGACATACATTAGGAAACCAGAGAATCTGTATAAAAACAATTGAGTAATTCAAATAGAGAGTCTCCATCATGAATCCAACCATATACAGGTGACCAAGGCAGTGGTGGGGTAAGGGGGGGAGAGGAAGGCTGGAAAAAAAGAAGCGCCAGGGGCAGGGGCGGACTGACCATTCGAGCACTCTGGCACTGCCCGAGGGCCCGGGGTCAGTAGGTGGCCCCATGAAATGCCCCTGGTACCTTTTATTATAGGCTTTTTTGAGTGTGGGCAAGGACACAGGGGCCCCATGATCCCCTATTGCCCAGGGGCCCCATGAGTTGTCAGTCCGCCCCTGGTCAGCGGACATAATAGAAGGGGAAGGGAGAGAACCATTGTTCGTAAACCTAAGTATACACACAGAAGGAGTGTCCTTCGAAGCATGACAAAGGTTTTAGAGCGAATACACATCTTTTTTTTAAACACAAAATGTTATGTTAGGGTTAATGCATGTGACCAGCCTAGATAGAAAAACTCCGGAGTTCTAAATACAAAATCCGAACCTTGCTATTAACATTTTGCATTCATAGCGAAGGCCATTATAAGACGAAATCTTCGGCGTTATATCAGCGGTCTCCAAACTGTGGCCAGATGCTGCCCTTTGCTTGCCTTTATCCAGCCCTTGGGACACTTTTCCTCCAAATGACACCAATGATGGGACATCAGTAGAAATACCATAAACAGCGCTCTC